ATAAAGAGATAAACAGCAAGGACCTACTGTGCAGCACACGGAACTGTATTCAATATCTTATAATAACCTGCAAGAAAAACAATCTGAAAAAAATGGATACATACATACGTACAACTGAATCACTTTGCTGTACACCTGAAACAATGTAAATCAACCATACTTCATTTAAAAAAAAAAAGATCAGAGGCAGGCTATAGCTCAGTGTTACAGTGCGTGCTTAGGATGCATGAGGTCCTGAGTTCAATCCCCAGTACCTCCATCAAAAAAATAAGCCTAATGACCTCCTCCAAAACAAAAACAAAGACAAAAAATATTTTTAGAGTGAAAAGAAAATACTAAAAAAAAAAAAAATCAGTGGTTGCCAGGGGTTGGGGGGGCCGGGGAGGGCTGACTAGGCAGAGCACAGATGCTTTTTAGGGCAGGGAAACGACTCTGTATGATACTGTAAAGGCGGATGCTTTTCCAAACCCATACAACATGAACACCAAGAATGAAGCCTAATGTAAATGATGGACTTTGGGTGATGCGACCTATCAATGTAGGTTCATCAGTGCTGACACGTGTACCACTCTAGTGGGGACGCTGAGGATGGAGGTTACACAAGTGTGAAGGCAGCAGGTATTTGGGAAATCTCAGTGCCTTCCTCTCAACTTTGCTATGAACCTAAAACTGCTCTAAAAATTAAAGTCTATTACTTAAAAAAATTTTTTACTTATTTATATATATTTTAATTGGAGGTACTGGGGATTGAACCCAGGACCTCATGCATGCTAAGCAGGCGCTCTACCACCAAGCTATACCCTCCCCTAAAGTCTATCATTTTTTAGATATGTATGTCTGAGCTGCTCACTCCTGAAAGTGCTCCCTCTGCCTCTGCATGTTCTGCTCCCTCTGTCGGAGGGCTCTCACCCCACCTCCAGCTCGTTGCTCCTCACCCTCCCAAAGTCCCTTCCCCAGAAAGCCTTCCCTTCCCCCAGACCAGGTCACAGTTCCATTATCCCCTGGCACCATCCCTCCAAGTTTTCCTTAAAGGTGTTCATCATAGTGGAGAATTCAAGAACCATCAGTGTGAGTTTGGGGTTCACGTCTGTCGTCCCACCAGGCCAGTGCCACCCCCTAGAACTTTCCACAGTGATGGTATGTTCCATACCTGTGTTTACTGGGATAAGCGCTAGCCACAGGTGGCTACCAGGCCCTTTAAATGTGACTTGTGCCGCTGAGGAACTGGATTCTTAATTGTAATTCACTTCAATTTAAATAGCCACGTGTGGCTCATGGCCCCCTAGGGGACAGCACAGCAAGGATGTAAACTCTTGAGGGCAGGGACAATGTCTGAGCCCCCTTCCCCCTAGTACTGAATGGCTGCCTGAAATGTAAGCTGAATGACGAATACGCGGAGTGAAGTCACCAGTCAGTGGCAAGGGTCTCTGAATTTCCCAGCCCGTGTCCCTTGGGTGATTCCTGGGCAGAGCGTGGGTTCAAATCCTGCCACTGCCCACTCCAAACTGCCTCAGAGCCTCAGTTTCCGCACAAGGAAGAGGACTATCCTGCAACAGTGTGACCACGAGCCGCCTCCCTGTGTCCTTCCCACTGAGCTCCA